CAATAGCAAAAGCAAAATAGTAATGGTAATTTATAGCAAGGCGGTAGCGAAAGCAAATGCAAAAGCAATACAGTATTAATAGTAATAACAGTAACAGTAGCAATAGCAGCATAAAAAATATAGCATTAGCAATATCATTACCAATAGCAGTAACAATTAAACAGTAACAAATATTAATATATATATATTTTTAATAATGCCATATTCTATAGTTAGGTAAACATTGACTGATTTAATACTATCAACTTTAATGAAAATAAAACTAAAACAACAATTAATTAAAAATTATTACATCATTAACAAATAGGCCTATGTGCCTTACCTGGTGAGGGGACGATCAGGTAGACCAAGTGGATCTATAAATGCACGCTCCAGTTTCATTATCTGATCGTTGTACATTCTTATTTCAATTGGACTGAAAATACAAACATTTGGAAACAAGGTACTAGAAATTCACTTTTGCGATAGGTGGGCATAGGTTTTGGATAGATTTTTTTAAAATAATTATTATAGCTTGAAGGGTAATTAAGAGAAAATATCAGATGTTAGAGGCAGATAACAAAATGTAGGTTTTCAGGACACGATTAGGTGAGATGTAAATGTCATTTGACATGTAACATTCCGGAAGCAAATATTGAGTATAATCAATATGGGGACGGACAAAGGGTTACTCATATAAGATACGGTATGTTATATATTAGATCTGCGAGCAAAATCGACGACACTGGGTAATTGAGAAATTGCCTAGATAATTTGATGTAGGCCTGCTGTTAGGTTACTAAATGCGCAAAAAAAAATACGACATGCTTTATACGTACTTTGCTTTGTCAAGCTTAGCCAATCTCTCTTCAAAATCAGTAGCGGCAGTTGTAAAATTATTCACAGCGCTCTCAAAGTCATCTATAAAAATTAATGACAAATTGACTTCATTGAGTACATGTGGTACTAGTCTTGTAACAGCGGTGGCACCAAGATTTGAAAGGCAAGGGACCTACGCGGGCCCAGTGGCGTATCTAGGGAAACACGTGGGAGGGGAGCACGCCCCTCTAAAAATTACTCGTGACTGCCCAGGCGTCCCCAAAAATCACGGTCAAGTTGTTAAAAATCACCTAAAATCCCCTTAACTTGCGAGTTAGCCCCAACCCCCTTAACTAATAGATGTGTATAAGAGACAGCATATATAGTCATAATATGCCTATATATGTTCATGGTGTGATGTAATCATGAACATGATATTAGGCATAGATCACCAACAACCACACTGGTGAATTGTGTAAGCTCGCCGAAAGGGCGAAGGTCTCTATTTTGACTGTACCTGTATTGAAACTTTCATAACTATTTATAGCATTTATTAGATTAGACTTTAAAGAAAATATTGTGATTTAAAACAGGTGCGCAAATGGATTAAGAATGGACCATGCATAGGCTAACGCTTTTGGCCGCAACTAACCATTTAGCGCTATATAAAGTTATATAACACACCTAAATAAATATTTGTCATTTGATTGGTAGATTACATATCACGAGACATTGGTTATTTACACCATTTCGTCACTCATGAAAATTTAGTTCAATCCGTGCATTTTTTTTTCCATTCGTTTTGTCCATTTCGTTTTTGTTTTATTTCGCATAATAAATGCTTATTAACTACAAACTCCAACTCTTAGAGAATTCATTGACTAAAGTCAGAAAAAAGAACAAACCTCCACAGAGAAACGTTAGAGGCAGATATTTACATGAAGCATAGACATATTTTTTCCTCCACCGTCCATATATTAATATGAATAATGGAATAGTTATTACAATATTATGCCATTTTCTTACATACTTTTCAATTATTAATGAATAAATCAATTTGCCAATTTTTATTCAATTTGAATATAGCAAACTTAATTAATTCTTCATTCATTGAATTGCATATACCTATTAATTTATTGGTTTGCCTAATTTGTACCGTACATTTAAATTGTACTTCATTTATATGTAAATGAATAAAGGATACCTAACAATTAATATTGTAATGTACCCTCCCACTTGTATATTTCAACTTTACTGTATATTTGTAATATGTCGTATTCCGGTGTATTTTAAACATTTTTAAATATTATTACTTTAATGTATATTGTACAATTCAATTTTCCTTAAATTTGCAATAGTCACCTTGTATCTTGTATTGTCTTTCTTTTTATCTCAATTTGTACCAATTTTTAAAAAATGTCCTTTATATTGTGTTAATTATTACAGTATCTTATGATTTTCAATAGTACTAAAATATAAAAAAATTCAAAAATAAAGATAGGCCTGCATTATACATACATACATATATATATATATATATATATATATA